AAATAATAAAAACTATTACATCAACTGTTTCATTAAGATACCTACGTCTTTTTGCAGATACTAGAGAAGCTATAGTGTCTTACTAAGTCCAGCTATAAAGTGAAGTACTGAGCCATGAATATTTTTCAACTCAAAATGGTTTTACTTTCATTTCAAAACCTCTACTTCACCTATTTAAAAAGTTATGTGAAATCGAGTAATATCATTACTGATAATCTTCATTGGAGTCTTGAAAATGGTGAAATGATTTCCTTAAAAAAAAAAAAAAAGCATTGGCGGCCTTTGTAGCAATCAGGTGATATACATTCATCATGAAATGTATCTAATCTTATGCTGTACTCACTTGGTAATAAAAAATAACATGGAAGTAATAAACTTCCCAAAACACAAAGTGCATGAATTATTTTGAGTTCAATTAATAGTGAAAGTGAAAGCTGTTCGTTATTTCTTAGGATTAAATATTTTGTGGGGCTTCTTAATCTTTTTTTTTAGATCTTATTTGCATTATCATTATCATTTGATTTAAAAAATAACCATTTGTTGTGTAAAATTTGAACCCTATATTTTTATAGAAAAATGACAGTAAAATCTTATCAAAATATATAAATGACAGTTAGACTTCTAGAAATATTATAATTTTTCAAAATTTTTTAAATACCTTTTTGATAGTAATAATTTTAGATTAAATGATTAAAGTATTCCTTATTTAAAATAAAAAAATAACAAGTTTATACAGAAAGTTGTGATTTCTTGTTCAATTTTTGTGATTTACAAAGTTAAAGTTATGATTGGAATTGATTATTTTCAAAACTTATTTATTAATCATAAAAGAAATTTTACATGAGAAGTTATAATTTTTTATTCAATTTTTGCGATTCAGATAACAAAAGTTACAATTATTTAAACAAAAATTGTAATTAAAAAAATGAAGCTAAACCCCTTATTTTTATGTTAAATAAGGGACAATTTAATCATTTAACTTAAAATAATTGATGTTAGAAAAGTATTTAAAGATTTTAGAAAAATTATGGTGTTTTAAAAGACTTGATTGTCATTTATATATTTTTAAGATTTTATTACCATTTTTCCTATTTTTATGGTTTTCCCATTTTTATGGTAAAAATATAGTAATTTGACAGATTTCCATTATGTACTTCAATTTTAGTTATTGATGAAGTGTGTTATAAAATTCCACCTATGTTTATAGCCGGTCCCAAGCCCGGGTAAAGGAGGAGGGTTGTGTTAGGCCATCAACAGCCAATATAAAACTTTGTTGAATCTATCATGAACATGAACAATAGATGTTATAATGTTAATGCTAGGTCGTTGCCCGTAAGTAACGCGCTGCATGGCTCGAGTACAGTGATAAGTGAGTTAGAGCCGCTGCATCGGTGCCCAGATATAGTGTTAAATGAGCAAGGGCTACCGCGTCATTCTGGACGCACGCGGCTAAAGAAGTTAGTTCATGAGAGCAAAATTAGATTTGGTACTTGAAATGTTGGGACATTGAATTGTAAATCTGTAGAGGTTGTAGGGGTTATGATTTAAAGAAAAATCAATATCCTTTGCCTGCAAGAAATAAAATGGCGTGGAGAAGAAGCTAAGGATATTCAAGGTTTCAAACTTTGGCATACAGGAAAAGTAAGTGCACGCAATAGAGCAGGCATCATTATAGATAAAGAGTGAAAGAAGAACGTTGTAGAAGTTAGCAGAATTGGAGACAGAATTATTTCCTTAAAAATGATAATTGGACGTGAGACTATTAATATTGTTAGCGCTTATGCGCCGCAAGTCGGGACAGAAGCCAGTCTTAAGGAATTATTTTGGGAGGATCTGGAGGGGTTGATTCGACGCATACCACAGAGTGAAAAGATTTTTATTGGAGGAGACTTTAATGGGCATGTCAGGAGGAAAGCTGGTTAGTATGCGAGGGTGCGTGGTGGTTTTGGTTTTGGAGAGCTAAATAATGAAGGACAAACTCTTCTTGATTTCTCATTGGCGTATGATTTTAAGATTGCCAATACTTGTTTCAAGAAGAGAGATGAGCATCTCATCACTTACAAAAGTAGAGTCTCAAGGTCACAGATTGATTTTCTTTTGGTTAGCAACAAAGATAGAAGACTTTGTAAAAATTGAAAGGTGATCCCCGGAGATGCTGTAACGACACAACATAGGGTCCTAGTCCTTGATGTATGTATTTTGAGTAAAATCTAAAAACGTCGACAAGTAGTAGCACCAAGGATTAGATGGTGGCAATTAAAAGGTGAGAAGCAAGATATTTTCAAGCGAAATCTTTTGAATAAAGGAATTTGGGAATCTCAGAGAAGTGATAACATCATGTGGGAGGATATGGCTAAAAAGATACAGGAGGTTGCAAAAGTGGTTTTGGGAGAATCAAAAGGTTTTGGTCCGAGAGATAAGGAGTCTTGGTGGTGGAATAATAGTGTACAGGATAAAATCAAGTATAAGAAAAACTGTTTTAAAGCCATACATTTATGTAACAATGAGGAAAATTGGGAGAGGTACTGTATGGCTAAGAAGGAAACTAAGAGAGCTGTGGGTGAAGCTCGTTCTAAAGCTTTTGAAAAATTTTATAAGAGCCTTGAGACGAAGGAAGGAGAGCGAAATATTTATAAGATTGCCAAGAGTAGGGAAAGAAAATCAAGAGATCTAGAACAGGCAAGGTGTATTAAGGATGAAGAGGGAAGAACTTTAGTTACAGATGATGAAATTAAAAATAGATGGGAGACTTACTTTTCTAAACTTTTCAATGATGGAGAGGGTTTATCTAGTAACTTGGAGGATTTAGTAACTGGTGAAGGAGAACAATTATTTGTCATTCTATCGAATAATACGTGATAAGGAGGTAAAGGAAGCTTTTAAGAAAATGGCAAATGGTAGAGCCAACGGACCTGATTGTATATCTATCGAAGTGTGGAAATGTTTAGGTGAAGAAGGGATGAGATGGTTAACTAAGTTATTTAATATGATTTTACGGTCCAAGAAAATGCCTGATGAGTAGAGGAGAAGTACATTAATTCCTATTTATAAAAATAAAGGAGATATTCAGAATTGTACTAACTATAGAGGGATTAAACTCATGAGCCACACAATGAAATTGTGGGAGAAAGTAATTGAGCACAGGTGGAGATTGGAGACAAGTATTTCTGAGAATCAATTTGGTTTTATGCCAGGTAGATCAACTACAGAGGCGATTTATCTACTAAGGGGATTAATGGAAAAGTATCGTTGTAAAGATAAAGATCTACACATGGTTTTTATTAATTTAGAAAAAGCTTATGACCGTATACCAAGAGAAGTGCTTTGGAAAGCGTTAGAAAAAAAGGAAGTACGGATTGCTTATATTAAAGCCATACAAGATATGTATGAGGGGGTAAAAACTAGTATAAGAACACCTAGTGGTCAAATAAAGAATTTTTCTATAAAGATTGGACTACATCAGGGATCATCTCTGAGTCCTTATTTGTTCAACTTGATCTTAAATGTTTTCACGGAACATATTCAAGGGAAAATTCCGAAATGTATGCTCTTCGCGGATGATATAGTTCTTATAGCAGAGACAATAAAAGAGGTTAATTGCAAACTTGAGTTATGGAGGAGGACATTGGAGTCGAAAGGTTTTCGTCTGAGTAGAAGTAAGACGGAATATTTATATTGTAAATTTAGTAAAGGACTATTCGACAATAATTTGGAAGTAAAATTGGGAGACCAAATTATACCTCAAGTGGAAAAGTTTAGATATTTGGAAGCCATTATTCAAAATGATGGTGAAATCAGTAGAGATATTTCACATAGAATTCAAGCTGAGTGGTTTAATTGGAGAAAAGCTAAAGGAGTTATTTACAACCGTAAGGTGCCTAATAAACTTAAAGGAAAGTTTTATCGCACTGCTATCAGACTGGCAATGTTATATAGTAGTGAATGTTGGGCTCTAACGGGACAGCAAGAGCATAAAGTTGGAGTAGCAAAGATGAGAATGTTATGATGAATGTGCGGACATACACGTAAAGATAAAATTCGAAATGAGCAAGTACACGAAAAAGTGAGGGTGGCACCTATTGAGGAAAAAATAGTAGAAAATCGGTTGAGATGGTTTGGGCATGTACAAAGAAGACCAAGGAAGGCACCAGTGAGAAGAGTGGAACATATAACTTTGAGTCCGATTAAGAGAGGTAGAGGAAAGCCTAAGAGAACACTTTTGGAAGTTATTGAACATGATCTTTTAATTAATAATATTCCTAAAAGCTTGATAAATGATAGAGCCTAATGGCATCTTGCAATCCATACAGCCGACCCCACCTAGTGGGATAAAGGCTTGTTGTTGTTGTATGAAGTGTGTTATAAATATTGTAATTTATTTGTGGATGTGTACGAGAATTTTTCATGATTAATATACTTATATATTCTACAATTATATAGATGTATTCTTCGTGTTAAACAAATTTAAGGACTTGTGTCCTATGAATACAAAGCATGTATCAAGTGATCACAAACTTGAAGTGAATGAAAATCACTCCTTATTTTTCTCCTCTAATTTTTTCTTGCCTTATTCAATTCTCTCATCTTAATCTCTTACATTATTTTTATTTTCATAACAAGTGCACGTAGTTTTTAAAAAAATTGTGATAATGGATATCTAAAGCCCATATATATATATATATATATAGAGAGAGAGAGAGAGAGAGATCCATGCAACAAATTTGATGATGGATCCCATAAATTAAGCAAGCATTGAAAACAAAAAGTAAAGCATTTACACGGAAAGGAAAGCTTAAAAAAAAGGAAATAACAAATCTGACTTTTTACAAAACCAAATTCTACGCGTCTCATGAAACATATGCTTAACTAGGCTATAAATGAGAAATTGAGAATCAAATTTCATCACTATTCAAACTAGAAACAGTTTTGGAGCTAACATTATCAATCTTCAAACCAAAGCCAGATTAAGAATACGGAAGAGAAAAAAGAAACCAACAACAGAAACCATAATAGAAACCAAAGTTTCTATTTTGCAATTCTGCAGCAGTACAGATGCAACAAAAAATTTGCTCAGTATAGAATTAGATGAAAGAAAATAAATAGACAAAACCTACAAGATTCTCACCACCCCTGGTAAAATATTGCTTCCATGGGGTATCATTCAATGAATTAATTTGACAGTATCAATGGCCATTATATATATATATATATATATATATAAAAGGGGGTAGGAAAAACAGCATGGGTATCTCTTTTACAATCATTTAGCTGCTTTGTGGCCTTGTGCTTTGGATTGACTCGCTGCTGCTGACATTACACGCAAGCGACTAGTGATTTCGGAGAAGGACGGCCGGGCTGCAGGATTCGGCGCCCAACATTGCTCCATTAGTGTTCTCCATTCCAAATCACAATTACTTGGGATTGTTGGCCTTAATGTGTTATTTACTATCCCACCTGCATGGACAGAATTTTAGTAACATAGTATTTCGGAAGTTTAAATCTGTTATCATTCATGTATGTGTTGTCAGGCCTAACAATTGGATTCTTTGTGACAGTAAAACACAAAAGAAAATATTTCTTCCATACCACCATATAAGACATCTTTTAAAATTATTACTTATTTTAAAATATAGGGTATTAGACAGTTTTTATAATTGATTTTCCAACTATATCCTTACTTCATTCATTACTCTTTTTGAAAATAATGCATTTAAAATTTCAATTGTCATTATCAATGCACCTAAATAAAATATTTAATAAGAGTATAATTGAAAAAATATAAAAATTTTCAAAAAGGCGAAAGTTTCACCTAACTTTTTTTTTTTTTAAACCGTGAAATAGTTACTAACACCTATATTGTGGTCCACAAAGAGTAACTCTAAATGCTCAGACCAATTTTTACACACGATTCATTCTTTTTCTCTATCTATATCTCTAGTGTCCTATATGATTCACTTTCATGAATGCAAGAAATCCGGATTGATTTTTGAAATTGATTTGTCCCAAAACTCTTGTTGACATATGTCGAGTTGGCTATAAGGGTCAGGTGTTACTGTTTCATTTTGAGGGCTTCGCTGGCTTGTTCTTAGCTGTTGAGCATTATGTTTAGCTATGTCCAAAGGAATTGTGACTTTAAGCTATTAACAAAGATGTAGGAAACCAATTCAGAAGGATGCAACAAGATTTAAGCTGACGCTTTATGTAGATAAGTTAAAGAAAACAAAAATTATCATACCTATAATTGCACCATAGTGCATATTGGCATACGGCTCCTCACCCGTTAGAATCTCCCATAATACTATGCCAAAGGAGAATACATCAACCTACAAATCAAAAAGCAATTCATCAAATACTGCTTGCAAGACAGGATGATGAAGAAAATGAGAAATATAAGAAATAACCAACAAAAGGTTGTCATAATTAGTAAGGATTTGACCAATAACCCACAAGGTTGTAGTAACAAATCTCATTGCTGATATAAAACCCTTCTTAATGGGCAATCTATAAACATCTCTCTAAGCATTGAGCCCAGAGATACACCCTGGCCCTAATGAACTCCTAGGACCCAACACACCTAAACTTTTAGCAATTAAAAAAAGAAAAGAAAAGAAATATAGGAGATAAAGATGGCCACTAAGAAAACATCAGCTTTCAGGGTTTCTTTGCCAATGATTATTAAGAGATGAAAATTCATACAACCCCCAAATAAAATAAGATTTACAATGTAATGGAAGAATGAAATAGGAGAATAAGGGGTGGTTAAATGCTCAGAAAACACGCATGCACGCACAGGTATTTGAGCACTAACAGATAGTGAGAGGGAAGGGTGAGTCCTGAATACTGGAAAATGAGTTTGTCTAATATGAGAATTTCATCATGAGAGATAAAAGCCATTTAACATCTGGATAAGAGATCACTACAACTCAATTGCAATATATTTATTAGTGATCAATAGTAATTGGTTGCAGTGATTTGGCACCATATCATCTTAAATATGATCTCAGGCTCAAGTCTAGCAAATATAGAAAACCACCGGAGTAAACCTTATACCCATATAATCTGACCTGAACAAGCTTTGACTTAACGTATATCCATAAACTGGACAATGCTCAACACTATATCTATGTATATCCTTTAAGCAGCGGTAAAAACACATTACATGATCGACCTATCATAATTTACCTTTTCTGAGACTTTGTTGCTGCTGCCATTCAGCAGCTCTGGCGCCATCCATGGCAAGGTTCCTCGCACACCACCGGATACCAGGGTATTTCTTTTGATTTTTGACAACCCAAAATCTCCAACCTAAGAGCAAATTTATTAGTCTTCTCAAGACACAAGTTTTGAAATCATGATCACAGGATAAGTACCTTGCAGATTGGCCGTAAAGGATCTTTCATGTTCACAAGCAAATTGTCACATTTTAAGTCAAAATGCACAATATTTTTTGAGTGCAAATATTCCATTCCAAAAGCAGCATCCATGGCAATTATCAGCCTCTTCCTACGATCAAGATACCTGCAATCAAAATTATGCTAAGTTAAAACACAGCCTGGCAACTTCGAATCCATCACTTGAACACTTTGACATGATAAATACTTTGATGCCTACGGCTCAGGCAGCTACCTAATTTGAAAACTATCCAAAAGAAATAGGAAATTGGCATGCCTTCTATCAAAAAGAGAGAGTTTTTATCAGCACATGCCTATATTACTTACCGAATATAGAGCAGGAGCAAGCCTTGACCTTAAATGAAACGATTTGAATAAAATTTATTACCCAATGTCACAGGTAGAAAAAAACTAAGTAGAAATTCTTTACCTATCCTTGCGAAGTAATACATGCCTAAGCGAACCATCCACCATGAATTCAGTAACAGTGGCCATTGTTCCACCAGGTCCATCCTGAACCACACCATAAAATGCCACCACATTTGGATGATGAAGTTTGGAAAGTATGTCAGCTTCGCGCCAGAACTCTAGAGTCTGGAAAAAGGAAGGAAATATACTTGTACCATTAATGCTCTGATAAAGAGTTTGAGAGATGGAGAGCTTTTTCCTTTGTCCCCATGAAGGGGGGCTCAATAGGGCGTAATTAAAAATAAATAAATAAATAGCACATTTTATGCTGATAGGAATTGAATTGCAACTTACCAGTCTTTCTTGTTCAGATGATCGACCAGTGAAGCAGCTTTTCTTGATTCTTTTAATGGCAACATCGGTCCCCCGCCATTTTCCATGATAAACAGTCCCAAAGGTACCAGAACCCAGTTCCTTCAACTCTTCAAGATCTTCATTCTTTATGAACTATAAATTCCACAAGGCAAAGAAAAACATTTAGAACCTATCAGTACATATACAAAACATTTTGAAGCAAATGACCAGGAATTAACTATAGGCCCATCAATGATATTTAACACTTCAACCCCTGAGGGAACACAAGGCCCATCAATGTATAGAGATCTGTTAGATATTATTATAAAACTATTTAATCTTCTTAACGTCTTAAACTTTAGGGTTGAAGTGTTCCTTGGCATTGTATCAGCACCTCTATGATCAAACCTTGTGAAACCAAAATGGAAAATTAATTATAAGGCCTGTTTCAAAACTACTTGGAGCATAGTTTCCTCGACTACATGATGGCAAAAATGATTTAAGAATAGATCTATAAATGCATATTTGAAGAGTTGTATGATGAATAATTTTCAGAGGACTGAATTTTGTTTTTTTTTTTAAAAGACGTGCTAGGAGTTAAAGCAGCAAGAATGAAAATTGAAAATATATTAGGATACAGCTACCAAGTCACCTTTATCATTAATTTCAAAGAACACAAAACCATGAATAAAAAACAATTTCTACCGATTATTAGAAAGATGAAACTTCCCTTCATCCATCATGCAAGTAATCCTCAAAGGAGAACAACGAAACTATGAATTCAAAGTGTTTTTCCATTTAGGTAACTTAACAATGTTCCAGGCTCACAGTTCCATTCAGAGCAAAGAAACTACATCACATACCATATTTACTAAACAGTGAACCTATATTTACTTCGTTCATACAAATGAGTTGATCCAAAATTTCAACAATATGATAAGTGCACACCCCTGTAATCAAAGTACAGGAAAACTTTCTCGATAAAGCATTCTTTATACCATTGGGGGGAAAGAGAAAGAAGACAAAACAGAATAACTGACATCAAAGCAAAGAAGATATAGATACACAAGAATGATACCTGAAAGGTATTGATATCAACATCTCCTATAGAATGATCCAGAGGTGGTAGACTACTGTTTCTTTTTCCAAAATTGACATCCTAGATTGAAGCCATAAAAATATGTTGTCAAAAGAAAAGCAGATCTGAACAGATTCTGAAACCAAAAAGTCATCAGAAGCATACCTCATATTCTGATTCTTGTGCTCTTACGTTTCCCATCATAGCATCAAACTGCATGCTTTCAGTTTCCTTCATTTGGGAATGATTATGACCATAATTTGATTCAGCAGTTTCAGTTCCAATCATTCCCTCCCAGTCTTTCTGATTTTCTTCACCAAAGTTGGGGCGGGATTCTACATGATCTAGAGATATTCCATCAGTCATTACCGGTGTAATCAGGGGAATTTTATTATCCCCGGCTTCATTTCCTAGTGCAGGTGAGAAATCATGATGGTCCCGGTCAATCAAGGTCACATTATCAAGCCCTTGTGCCAATTTATGAAAATATGACCATGGTTTAGGTTCATGATTTTCCATGGCTATGCTTACACTAACTCCATCCTTGGTTAGCGGAAGTAGACTGGATGAATCTTCTGCAAGTGTTGCTTGAGAGTACATATTAGAAAGCAATTCACGGGGAAATCGATCATCAATATTAATAAGAACACCTTGTGCTTGCTTGGAAAAAACATTAGAGGGAAAATCTTGAGAAACATCATCAACTGGGTGCTCAGTAGAAGAAACAGGTAGTGCTTGTGTCACACAATCATCATTGGACTCCTTCCTAAAGGTGTCATTCCAATTGATCTCTGGAAGTTCGGATGCTGGATCATCATAATGATTAACGGAAGGAAGCTGCTGCAAAGTACTGTTTTTGTTTTCATCAAGCAGAGGCTTCTCCGGGTTATCTTTAAAATGACTTTCAGCTTCCAACTTATTAAACTGATCCTCATTTATCTCATCCTTACTTGCCTTATTGTCTGGCAAGGCCTGCCTCAATTCAGGATTTACATGTTCTGATAGCTTAAATTTTGTCTGACTGCTCTCATCAGGCACATGCATTGGCGGTCTGGAAAATCCATTATAAATAGCGTGGCCATCTGCATGCAATGGCTTTGCTGCAATGTTCAATTCCTCAGAACGATTGGTAAGATTTCTATTATGCATGTTGTCACCAGATTCTGCAACTGAACCCTGCGGCTTGATATCAGAAAGTAAATCTGACACAAGAAACTGAGAGCCCTCAGTATCATCTGACTTTGAGGAGCGATTCAGTGTCTCAGCTTGCTCTCTGGGAGTTCTTTCTGAATAGTAAACTCTCTTTGGAAGTGGAGGAGGTTGAAGACCACTCAGATCATATGGTTTGGACTGGGAATCAGCGTAAGCAGGAGCAAGTGCACTGCCAGATGTAGAAGAGGCTTCTTGATTATCCTGGTGCTGGTCTTTTTTTGCTGAAGGTGATGAAGGCATATGCCCCTCTTGTAAAGTAACAGCTACTGTATCCTCAGGAAAATTATTTTTCAAGTACCCATCAAATGGTTGAGAGGGGGCAACAGGTGGTGTTTGCATGGCTAAAACTTTCTCAGGGTCACTTCCTTGTTGAACTGAGCTATCACCCAAATTAGTCACCTGCATTGTCAGTATTTTGGAATTCTGTACTGGTAATCCACTAGGTAAATAGCCCTCATTTAAAGCTCCAGGTAGATTAATCATCCCATGAGGAGGAATAGTAGTAGGATCAGCAGAGTTCTGGGAAACATTAAGGTCTTGGTGAATTGGATACTGACTAACGATTTCCCCAAGACGTGCCATCTGATCAATATAGAAATGTGGATAGGTTTCATAAGCATTTGATGAAGTTGGTGGTATTGGCTGGGAAGACTGCATGGTTAATGATGAACTAATTTTACTGGTCAAGTGAGCTTTGTTGAAACCTCCAGTTTCTACAGCAATTCTACTAGTCTCCCTTTCAACATTGTGCCCGTCCAATTCGTGTAAATTATTTGCTAAAGAGCTCACACTAAGATGGGTTGAGTTGTTTCTTGGATCTAAGTCCATGCCATTGACAGCAATGACAAATTGGATCTCAGAATCATCATTCGTGACATTGAGACCAACCTGAGCATCCTCTAAATCATTAATTGAAAACAAAAACATCCTAAGATTTCGCAATCCTTCTCTATCATCCAGATGGTTACATTCTTCCATCATATTCTGCAAATCCTCATCAGATGACACTGATACCAAAGCATCAAGCTCTTCCCCAGGAAGCTGATACTTAAGTATATGAGTTTGATTATAGATTGATAATGTTTTATGCATCAGATCCTGCCAAGATATGTCTTTTCTTAAACGGATCATGCGTGTTTCACCTCCAACATACCTTAGCTTTCCATCACTTGGCCGAGGTAATATTCTACCACCAAAGCTGCAAAGAACTTTCATTGTGTTTGATAGATCAGAGCCTCCCAAAGAGGTATAACCATGCACAAATTGATTTTTGTCTTGATTGAATGAGGTTCTTGGTAATGATCGAACTGACCCATAATTGCTTCTGTCTTCATGTAATGACAAGTTCTTTTTATCATACTCTTTTGGACCCTTTTCAACCATTGAAAGCATAGAAATCTCTGATCCACTTTCAGATCCTGCATGACTGACACCTAGAATGTCTTTCAGTTTTATGTAACCTGATGTGCAATTGGGATCACCAGCATTTGGAAATCCAGGCTTCTTGAGATTCACCCTATCTCGCATGAACTCAAGAGCGAATTCCTCACCAGTCTGTATGGAGTAATTAAGAACAGGCTTAACATCCAATGTGTGAAGGTCAGAAGACCTTCTACTGGTATGCATGGCATCCAGATGGTCATGCATTATTAATTGTGATGCAGGCTCCAATTCCTCATTTCCAGATTCCATGGTATTGCATTGAATCAGATCTTTTTTTTTTTTTTAATAAAAGCAAAGTTTGTTAAAGAGAATGAACCACGAGGAAGTTCTAGACTTTCAGTAACTGAGCACTTTCAGTTCATAAAGAAATGCAAAAAGGCACCAGCGACATTAGAAACTCTCAATATCTACTTAATTTTCTTCCGAAGTGCAACTTAACTCTGAAGCAACTGTCCTGTGAACATAAGTTAATTAAGACAAAAAAAAAAAAAACAAATGATGTTGCTAATGAAAATTGTAAATGATGCGTCCATAAACAAATATGAATGTTAAGCGGCAGAATGAGAAATTGTAATAAAATTATTTGACAAATACTATTGCTACTAAAATCCTATATTGGGAACCTAGATCAATAATCAATATCATAATTTTATTAAAACATCATTAACAACTTTGAGTTTTGAAAGTGAATGATTTGTTTTTTTTTTTTTTTTTTGGGCAGTAGACTGGCTCCATCTCATAAACAACTCAGGCCTATTATGTAAATGGGATGTTGGAGTACAAATGAGAAATTGGATATAATCTCTCAAGACACATAATCCATTACTAAGATAATCCCAAATGAGTACTAAGATATCCATGTGAGATTATATAATCATAAACCGTTTTTGCCTCGGAATGACCTGTACAGCTATTTAATGAAAATAGTTAATGGTAAATACACCGCTCCAAAAAAAAAAAAGTACAAAACGGAAGAAGCAATTTGAATTTAATGATATATACATTACCCAAAAATTGTCACTGTCCAAATTTATAATTTTTTAATATGTCAGATAAAATCCAAAAGAAATCATACCAAAAAAATATTCAAAGGAAAGAAAACTTAAGAAGCTTGAGAAGTTTTTTTTTTTTTTTAATTCAAGTTGTTATTTACAAATTTATCACAGGAAGTTATAGTATATCAGTGGTTGTCCAATATATGCAATCATAAACATGAAATAACAAATTAACAACGACAATGACAACAACACAAGGTATGGAGGCACTCTGAAATCATAGGCATGGCAGATAGTTGTCATATCCTTCGCAGTTCTTTCTTCATTAAACCCCCTCCACTCATTTTCTCTTCTAAATCTAATAAACGTAACAACATTTCAGTAATCTTCCATTAAACCATCATATAGATTATGTAATCAGATTTCAGATCATGACTCATGAGTGTGATCAAGTAATGCCAGGTAGAAGCTACTAACTTTTGCAACCCTAATGATAAGTTGAATGAAAACAGAGCGACAGAGTGGATCCCCTACAATTGATGCTATCATATAACTTGTAAGACTAAAGGAACACATTCTAATGCATCATTGAGACACTGAAGCAGACAGATGTCTGAGAAAACAATCTAGGAGGGGTAAGTTAATAAATAAATTGCACATATCTAAGCTGCAAGTATATATAATCCTGAAAACGAAATTTCATGAGCCGTGTGGCTGTCACAAATGCTAGAAATCATTTATTGATGAGCAATTTAAGGAAGCAATTTAGTCAAAGACTCAAAGAAATTAACACCCCACAAAATGGAGCGTATTTATTAATCATTATCCTAACAGAAAAGGAAAAGTTAGCACCAATTAAAGAAATATTTGAATAAGAAAATTGAGCAATCTAGAGTCATCGAGAAACTCCAAATATATAATCATATTCCATTAATCTCCACCTTAATTCCATAAATTCAAGCTCACCAATCTAGGGTTCTGACTCTAACTTCTACCAACAAAAGCACCAGAGACACACGGATTACAGGTAAACTTCACATTGAAGCAAAGGGCGTCAATATTAGAAAGCGCAAAGATCGCAAAACCAGAAAAAAGAAAACAGAATATTACAGTGAATCAAGCTACCTGATGAAAGAACATTTTTTTTCCTTTCTCATTGTATCAGGTCGTAGCTGCCGCTAGATTTCTCATGAAGCTCTCAGAGGAAGAGCCATTCCAGCAGTTCCGAAACAAAGATAATGCCAAAGCCAAAATAAAAATTCAAACTTTATTGTTGTCACTCACTTTCTTGCATTACATTTGTCTCAGTCTGAGTCAACTTGAACCCTTTCATAAGTGAATGATGCCCTCTCCCCGTCCATCTCTATCTATCCCTACCAGGATCACCCTCCTTGCCTGTGCCATTAATCTTTCTCTTTCCGCGTTTAGTCAAACAAGAGAAAGTAAATTTTTAAGTTCCCAAAATACCCCTCATAATTTGTCGTTCTTACTGAAATACCGGGATCAGTTCTCCTAGCCCCAGATAGCAAATACGGGCGCAGCAAGGCACTGCCCATGACTTGAGCTTTAAGAAAGTTTAAACTTTAGACAAGAAAAGGGGCAAGAAAAAAAAATAATTAATTTCTTACAATTAAAAAATAGATAACAATAATTTGTTGAGATTTAAAACTTTATGGGGCACCGCACTAAAAATCTTAGACAAAATTTCTGTAATGAAAAATTAATGCTAGATAATTTAGAATAATCTCTTCAATTTGAATTTTAAGACACTTTCAATTATATTTCATACACCAAAAAAATTTAGTTACCTTCTTTTTTAAGTCAATTCAGTTACTTTCTTATTTTTATAAAAAAAGTAACATGTATTTTTCTTTTTGCTCTTAATTAGAAAGAAATTAGAAACAGTAAGAATCAAATAATATTTTCCATCCTACAAGAAACTCACGTTAATTAATATAAGAATAAAATTAAAAAAATAATATTTAAAAATGCTAAGTGTTTTATATTTTAAATCAACTTTGGATAATATATATATATATATATATTTTGTATGGTGTACCCGGAGGAAAGCAACCATGCAACCACTTGTTGACACAATTGGCCCAGTTATGGTTTTATCCAAGTCCCAAAGCTGCAATTTCGACATATAACGTGTTGACACGTGTCCAATTTGCATTTGCCTCCATGCAGCTTGAAGGAGAATTCAACCCTACCCAGTAACGCAGAGTACAACTGTTAAAGGGTTGTACTGACCTAATGACTGGTTTTGATTTCGAATTTTGAATGCGTAATTGTGTTAAATATTTGTTAGAAAATTTCGCCTTCAATGTGGTTTTACCTTGCTTGGCTCAAAAAAAAAAAGAAAAAGAATTCAACTATTTTTTATCACATCGTAAAACAAAATTGTCATATTAATGTTTTTAATTAAGAGTACTAATTAATTAACAAGTTATTAGCTTAGAAAGATATGATATACCTTTTCTTATCTTATTTATAAGTCATTTCTAATTTTAATATATTTTATCAAAATCAAGAAAAATTTTAAATTTTATTAACTTTGTCTTAATATTTATTAAGTTTTTACATCTACTTTAATAAAGACAAAAAGGATTATTTTTAAAAAAAATTAATCATTTAATCCTTATAGTTTTGATATAGTTATAGCTTAATTCCTAAATTTGAACTCATTATAACTCAATTTTTAAAATTTTGACTTAGTTATAAATCAGTCCATGAACTTTGTCTCTTACAATTTGGTCCCTAAAGTGTCAATCTCTTAAATATTAGTTCTTATATTTTAAAAAATAAAATTATAAATATTAAAAATGTTTTAAAATTTATTACTAATATTTTAAATTATTAAACCCTTTTAATTTTTATAAATATTATAAACATTAAAAATTTAAAAATATTTTTAATTTTTATAATTTTAATTTTTAAAATATAGGGATTAATATTTAAGAGATTGAAATTTCAAGGACTAAATTATAAGAAGTAAAGCTCAATGACTAATTTATAATCGAGTCAATACTTCAAGAATTGAGTTATAATGAGTCAAAGTTAAGGAACTGAATTACAATTAAATCAAAACTATAAAGACTAAATGATTAATTTTTTTATTTTTAATAAATTTTTCTAACATTTAATAAAAATAAAAATAATAAAATGTCTTATAAATAGTACCAAAAATAATATTTTTTCCTCTATTTTATAAATAAATACAGCAAAATACATAGTTAGCAGCCACAGCACTAAGAGTAATAGTAACACTAATTGCAGCAGCAGTGGGAGGAGGAGGAGGAATTATAGAGATGTGACAATGTGACTAGTCGGCATTATTATTAATTTTGCATAAATGTTGCACTTAGCATCATTATAATTAGAATACTAAGTGATTTAGGGTTTGAAAAAATCCCACCATTTACCAAAAGTGTGTGTTATTATGATTTTTATTTTATGTATAATATAGTGATGATTCAAAATATTAAACACATGATTATAAAAACATTATTAAGATAAGATTATGTTTTCTACTTGAAATACTATTCTTAGCATTTTTAATGTACATTGTAATTTTTTAATTTATTTTGATCTAAAACTTCATTTTTATATAATATTTCATTCTTAACATAATATTTATAAGAAAATAATTATATGATCCTTGGGATTGTTATTTGTTAATACCCAATACCACATGTGCTTTTATCAATTCTGTATAATTAAACCTATATTTTGAAGGAATTGTTTCGTTATTTTCATTACAGAATGCAAACTCAAAATAAGTTACAAAATTTCAAACTAAAAAATTACATGACTTATAACTTCTATGAATATATCAATATAATAGTTCAAAACTTCACATATTTCTTTGCTGAAATTATTTTAAAATCAACAAACATCCTCGACTCAAATTCAAAGTTTTTGGGTAGAATTAGGTTTTCCTCATTTTCAAAATTTATATTCGGATCTAAGTTGAAAAGTCAATCTAGATCGTATTCCCATCCCACCTTTAAAATCTCATACTTGGCCAATAAAGAAACAGAGTTTTTTTTTTTTTTCTGCCAGAAGAAGAATTGCTGTCTACTGTTACTGTCCAATTCTAATACACACATAAATGGTAAAATTTTTAGATTACTTATTTTATATGTAAAAAGATTTGTTTTTTGCACAATTTAATTAAGAGTTAAGAGCATAATTTCATTTATAACAAAAATAATAAATAGACACATAATTTAACGTGAAACTTCAGTCAAGGACCGCAACTTTTTTTTGGTATGAAAAACTTCCATAATCTATGAGCCAGACAACTTTATTTTGTTTATTCTATATTCCAATATTGGATAAAAAATTAGGAAGAAAAGGAAACAAGAAGAAAAATAGATTTTTCTTATTTCAAGTTCCATGTTTCAATATTAATATCAAGTTTGACATGTAAGTATAAAATTAATTGTGTTAATTTTTATATTAATATTATTAATATCATTTGTATTACATCAATGTCCTTCTAAAAACGTAAGAACCAACATTGTTGATAAAAAAAATATAAAGATAAAAAAAAGTGAGACAATATATATTAAAATTTTAAAAAAATATAGAGATTAAAAGTAGTGTTATTTTAATTGTAAAATAAGAAATATAATTTAATAAAATATTTTGAGGATATTGTTTAGTCAACAATCAAAGTAAATGGCCCAGGGCTAACCGGCCTAATCAAGTTGCTCTCTCATTTAATGATATTCTTTTTTTTTCCCCATAAAGTATTTTGAAGTCACTTTCAAAATCGTTCCCTTTTCTTCCCATTCCTAACATAATAGCAAATTCATAAGGCATATTTTACTTTTTCCTTACTCCATTTATCCATATTTAAGAGAATTTTTTTGGCCAATAAGAGATTAGGTCAACTACTATAACTAAGTCGTCAATTGAAAAATTTTATAATAATATTAAATGTTATAATCACCGTTAAATAGTAATTTTTGTGAAAAGTATTTAAGTAAAACTCTAAATACAGATAGATTTCCAAATTCTTTTCAACTATAAGACTTGAATTTAATATTTTTTGTTTGAAGAATATTAAATTTTTTTCACTCAATTAATATCTAAATATTTTAAATTCCTAAATACAAAAAAATTTTATCGATAAAATTATTTTTTTTTTGGTTTTAGTTTTCTCTTTTGGACGCAATCAATTTTTAAACAAGGGGGAGGCGCCCACACCTTTTTCTAATTTGCTTTGTGAATGAAAATGAGTGCAGCATGTAATTTTCAAAGTGGTCCTAAAATAATCAAGTGGCTACGACTCTTGTAATGCAAGCAATGTATTTATTTTTTAATTCTTTATGTAATATGAAATCAAAAAAATAATAACCACTCGTTTTATTTTTTTTTTAATTATACAGTGATATATTGAACTCTTGTGTAGCTTGACATCTTTGAGTTTCTTCAGTTTTTGCTTTTCTGGAAACCTATATATCTATACATTAATAAGTGAATTATGTATTTATATGGTGAACATTCAATTTAATTTTTTTATTACTCATAATTATTTTTTTATTATAGACAATCTTATCAGAGGCAAGGTCGAATAATAAATGTGAGCATTTCTCTCAATTAGGATTTGAACATTTATTCATTACATTGTGAGAAATTTGTTCTTTCTATGAAACTCACTTTCATGGATAGTTTTTTTGATTAAGCACAGGTGAAATCATATTCAATGTATGATTAGGCATTAAATATGAGTATATATTTTTGTAAGAATATAAACTTTAATTAGTTAACTTGTGAGGAACTAACCCTTCCGGATAGGCCCAACCCTTATTGGTTCATTTAATTTAAATTTAATTACATATTAAAAGAAGTATTTGATCAAGAAATTAAATTTGGAAAATTCTATTTCTCTTCATAGTTTGTGCCGCATGGCACGCGGAGAACCAGTAAGTGATTTTAAATTTTCCTCGAGGAACTCTTGGCTTCCCACACCTTTTTTTTCCTGAATTTGATTTTGGTTCTGTCACTTTATTAATCATTAATCAATATATGATAATACAATATTAATATATAATATAAAATTTATAACAAGTCAAACTATTCTTAAATAGCTGGCAAAAAAACTATTTATAAATAAATAGTAAATAATGGGTCTCAAATTCGATGAAATATCCCAGCCAATAGAAATTCTACAAAAAAAATATATTTAAAAAACGTGTCTAGTTTAAAATTTTTGGATGACAACTATATTTTAGAAAAATATTTTTGTGCTCATATATAGGTTAGGCATTTAAAGAACTGTAGTCAAAATCCCAAAGAGCTGATATTGATTTTAAATAAAAGATGCTAAATTTATGAACCAATCTTTTGGTTAAAAAACCTATGTTAAATTGACCT